ACTCACCCCCACGGCAAGCCTGAAGCAGAAAGATCTTGGGGCAGCCGCTCAGGGCCTTGCAGCGGCTCAGCTCCTGCACCAGTGCCTCTGGCTGTACCTCCCGCCCGTCAGCCCCCAACAGCTGTCCCTGTGGCCCCCCGTGGGCCATCAGGGCCACAAGGGCACAGCTCACTGGGGCCCTGTGGGCATCTAGCTGCTCCCGGAACTGGGCCACCTCCTCGTGGAAGGCCTGGGGTGGGGACGAGATTGAGGCCTGGGCCAGAGTCACTGCCCCCCCCCCAGTACCTGGTGGTCCTCCAGGGATGTTTCTCCAGCCCCCACCCCCCCTACTTGCCACCTCCTGCCACATCAGGCCCACAGCGGCAGCGCTCTAACCCTCCCCCCACCACCACACACACACAGCACGAGGCCTGGCCTCACTGGAGGTGACATGTGGGTGTAGCTCTTGCAGCTAGCCAGGAGCTGCTTCTAAAAGCTAAGAGGCATGACGGGAGGGCAATGAGCTGACGGGTGTCCGGGAAGGAAGCGAGACCCTCCCAGGGAAAGCCTGAGGGTCCTGCTGGAGCCTGGAGCAGCGGAGTGGAGAAACAGNGGAGGGCAATGAGCTGACGGGTGTCCGGGAAGGAAGCGAGACCCTCCCAGGGAAAGCCTGAGGGTCCTGCTGGAGCCTGGAGCAGCGGAGTGGAGCCCTGGGGCCTGGGCGTCCAGGGGCAGGGGGTGAGCTCCCCATGCATGCAGCGGGAAGGATAGAAGGCAGACAAGGGGTGGGGGCCCGGGAGAGAGTCGTCGGAATCCTGGGGTTGGGGGCGCCCCTCCTTCAGAGCACCACCAGCCCTCACCTGGGCGGTGGGGTCTGTCCTTAGCATGGTCTTGAAGCTCAGGGCCCGGCACAAGGCCCCCAGCGCCTCCACATCGTGCTGGGACCCGGGCCGGCCACGGATCACCGACAGGAGGAGGGCGGCTCTGGTCCCACACAGGTCGTACTGAGCCCTGGGGCTGGGTTCTGGCTACAGACAAGTTCAGGAGCAGAGTGGTCTGAGAGCCGCCCAGCTCATGTCCCCCATCTCAGGTCTCCCCGAGCCTCTCTCCCACTCACAACCGCTGCCACGTGGTTCACCCACCGGTCCCCCTCACCTCGGGTCCCCAGGGTTCCACATCCCCCAGGCACAGCGTGCCCCGCAAGGTGCTCCAAAGGACTGGACAGTGGGTGGCCTCTGACTCTTCAGCTGTCCTGCAGAAGACCTGGCGGGGTGGGGGGGACCAGGGAACCCCTCAGGGGGTGCTCCATGGGGACACAGTTCGGGGAGGGAACAGGACACCGGCTTCAGGGAACAGCCTGGCCAGCTCACGACTAACGCAGTCTCTTTGGGGTCCCCTGCCAGAGTGGAGGGAGGAAAAGACAGACGAAAGAAGGGAGGGCATGCAGGGGAGGTCAGAGTTCAGATGAAGCCTCTGGGGCTTTTCTGGCGGGTGTCCTCAAGGGGACAGTGGTGGTGCCATTCACTACAGTGCTCCCCACCCCGGGACCGGTGCGCACAGAGCCGGGTGCTCCCTAGAGCAGCTCAGAGCCTGTCTGGGAAGGCTCACCGTAGGGGGTACCGCCTGGGGAGGGGGCCACACAGGGCAAAGCTGTGGAGCAGAGCCAGGGCCCACCCCTCGCCTCCAGGGTCACCCAGTGCCCTCCCAACTGCCCAGTGAGACCTTTGGGCCTTGAGCCCAGACCAGACCCGGATCATTCCCAACTCTGGCTTCCAGGGACCCCCAGTCTGACGGGTCAGTCACTGTCTGTGCGAGTGGGAACAGGGGTGGGCAGAAGTGCAAGCGTTGACTCGTGGAGCTCAAGGAAGGGCATGGCTGGCAGCCTGGAAGGGACCGTATGAGGCTGGGACAACAGGAGGGCAGGCCAGACAGAGGGAGCCACGCGGATGAAGGCACAGAGCTGAGAAGCGGTTTGGAGCGGCCGGGAATCTTGGGTGGGGTGTGAGGGGCGGGGGGGGGGGGGGGGGGGGGGGGGGGGGGGGGGGCGGCAGGAGGCAAGGACTCGAGGCTGGTACCACCTGCACAGACGATAAAGATTTGAACTGGAAATGAATGGGGGGGGGCGGTGCATGTGAATGAATCTAACTGTCTAACAGGCTCCGGACAGCACAACAGAGCCAGGGGAAGTGACTGGCACAGCCCCCCTCCCAGGGACGCCCCCCCCATCTGGGCCCCCACCTCTGTTAGCAGCTGCAGCAGAGACCAGTGAGGAAAGCGGGCACAGAGCTCGCTCAGGCCAGTGAGGAAGGCTCCAGGCTCGGGGGCAGCTGGGTGCAGAAACAGCACGTTGGCCTGAAGGGTAGGCCTCGGCCCCCCTGCCCACCCCACCTCTGCTTTGCACTGTTCCACAGCGGGGGTCACTGCCCAGCCCACTCACCCCCAGGAGTACTTGAGAGCAGAAGGAAAACTTTGGGGCAGCCCCACAGGGCCCCACAGCGGCTCAGCTCCCAGACCAGCTGCCGGGGCTGCCTCAGCTGCCCACTGGGGGCCACCAAGGCCACGACGGCACAGCCCACAGGGCCTCCGAGGGCATCCAGCTGCTCCCGGAAAGCGGCCAACTCCCCAAGGAAGCCCTAGGGCAAGAGCAAAGGCTGGGCCTGAGTCCAGGGAGGCCGCGGCAGCAGGGGTGGTGGTGGTGCTGGGTGAGGGCGGACGTGGGAGGCAGGTGAGGACTCACCTGGACGGAGGCCTCCCTCCTCTGGCAGCTTTCAAAGCCCAAGGTCCGGAACACGTCCTCCAGGACAGCGACTATAGAGGCTGACACCGCAGGGCTGCTGAGGGTCAGGGCCACCCTTGAACCCCGCATGCTGTACTTCCCCTGGGGAGGCAAGGCCAGAGTTGGGCTGGGGGCGGGGGGCTCAGCTGAGAGCCAGGAATGGGCTGGGCCAGGCAGTGCCCCCTGCTACCTTTCTTCCCAGGCTCTCTCGAGCATCTGCCATCTGCGAGGCCACCTGCAGGGTCCCAGCCACCAGGAAGGCCATGGGGGCGAGGTGGGGGCTTCCTCTGAGCACAGAGCTTATCCTCTGACCCCAGTGCCAATGTCCTGGCTCCCAACCCTTGCCCTGCACCCCGAGCCCTGTCCTATCAGCTCTGTTTATGGGCTGAGCTGGACTCTGCCCCTTTCCCTGGAACCCCGGGTCTTGGGCCCCACGGCCTGAGTCCCTGCTCTGTCCCCTGGCCCCAGCGGGCGACTCCCTGGCTGGCATTGGCACACCCTCACCTGAGCCGGGAGCACATGCCCAATCCTATTCTTAGCTCCTGGCCCGCCTCCTGTCTGATCCGGTTACACGGGAGTTCCTCCCTTCGGAGCCAGCCACCAGCACCAGGAACGTCCGTGCCCTGCTCCCGCCAGCCCCCGCTCTCTCATGCACAGCACCCACACACATGCACATGGTGGCCTTGAGCACCAGGGGGCGAGGAGTGGTGAGGGGTGCCGTCCCACAGGGAGAAACTCCTGACTGGAGTCAGTGAGACTCCTGTCGCTTCATCTGGGAAATGGGGTCCATCACAGTGATCTCAGGAGAAAGCAAGTGCTACATGGGGGGATGGCTGAGGAAGGGCCCTGGGGGCAGTGGGGCTGGCACACAGGCTAAGGGACAGGACATTTGTGTCTCAGCCCGCCCCACCCCACTTCGGGTGGGCTCTGCTGGGGTAGGATGACCTCTGACGGTGCACCCCCCACTTCTGTGCAGGATCCAGGCTGGGGGCAGAGGAGGGGAGGGGTCAGATGTCAAGGGCTGGGTAGGAAACAGGGCAGGGCCCATTCGGACCCAGCAGGCCCCTCCCACTTAGGGATCTGGGCAAGGGGTCTGGCTTAGAGTCCCGCACCCCACGCCCAAGCCCCTTTCTTCATTTCGCCAGTGGGGCCTGGCGAAGAGTCTCTCAGGTCCCCCACTGTCCTGCTGGGGCAGTGAGGGGTGCCCCCAGATGTCCCATCCTGAGCTGTCCCCGGCCCAGGGCAGGCGCTGGCTGACACAGGCGAATGAGTCTGGACACTCATGGCTGCAATTTGGGACCCAACAAGCCGGAAGCCAAGAATATGGCTCCACGTGGTGACCACCCAGCACCAGTACCACCAGGACTGCAGTGCCGGAAGGCCCAGAGGTATGGGCTCCAGGTACCCCACCCCCCCAGTAACCACATAAAGAACAGAACAGCTTGGAGGAAGTTTCCATATTTATTCAAAGTTCGCTGCTGTCCTTTTGAGACCAGCAGGGCCGAGCTCCCTTAGAGAGCCTGTGGTCTGTCCCTGGGAATGCCACTCTGCAGGTGGCACTGTGGAATGCAGTGCTTAAGGAGTCAGCAGCAAAGTGCTGACAGAGTGCTAGTGTTAAGTATCACAAAGCCCACACCTCTGGAGAGGGGAGCAGCAGGGAGCAGCCGGCCCCCCGCAGGCCCTGTCCTCGTCTACAGTGGCTCCTGTCCCTAGCCACCACCACCCTCACCAGAGTGGCCGGGGGGTGGCTCTCAGGGACTCACTGGAGGCAAGTCGGCTAAGAGCAGAGGCAGGAAGCTCCCCACCTCCAGGCAGGGAAAAGTGGTCACAGCCTGGTGACGGGAGGGGGTGTAGGGCCAAAGGCCCCCGTGGCCATGCCAGGGACCCAGATCCTCACAGGTCTAGGCTGTCCCTCCCAGAGCCTGGCAGCACCCTGCGGGTCAAGGCTTGCCTCCGCACCCACCGGAAGGCACAGCTTGGCAGGGCAGCGGGCCAGGCCTGGGGCCCCAGCGACAGTGCAGGAACAATGAGCCACGGGGCAAGCAACGCTGGGGGGCTGGGAACCCGGGCCCTGCCGCAGTCCTCACACATCCCTGACACCCCTGCCGTCTCCTCCTCCCCCCACTCAGGGCAGGGACAGGGAATGTGCTGGGGCCTCAGGAAGCCAGAGGGCAAGAGAGGGAATGGCCAGGGGGTGGCGGGGGCTTTCCATTCCCTGGGAGTGCCGGCCGGGCCCTGGGGGGGTCTGGTGGCCGCCGCCCACGCCCGCAGGTGGACACGCAGGGAGGCGTGCGGGCCCCTTGCCCTCCCGGCCCTCCCCGCCCTCAGCCCACGGGCTGGGCCATCTTGGCGTGCAGGCTCTGGTGGGCGATGAGGTGGGCGCGCTGCTTGAAGCTCTTGTCGCACTCGCCGCAGCCGAAGGGCCGCTCGCCCGTGTGCACGCGCCGGTGGTCCAGCAGGTAGGAGCGCAGCGAGAAGCTCTTGCCGCAGTCGCTGCAGCCGAAGGGCTTCTCGCCCGTGTGGATGCGCTGGTGGTCGGCCAGGTAGGCGCTGCGGCTGAAGCTCTTGCCGCACTGCGAGCAGGAGAAGGGCTTCTGGCCCGTGTGCACGCCCTGGTGGCGCACCAGGTCCGAGGAGCTGCGGAAGCTCTTGTCGCACGCCTGGCACTTGTGCGGCTTCTCGCCCGTGTGCGTGCGCTGGTGGCGCGCCAGGTCGGAGCCCCAGCGGAAGCGCTTGCCGCACTGGCCGCAGCTGTGCGGCTTCTCGGCCGCCAGGTCCCGGAACTGCCTCCGGCGCGTGGGTGGCCGCCCCCTCCGCGCCCCCGCCGCCCGCCCCAGGGGCGCGCCGGGCCGGGCCTCGCTCCGCCACGTGTCGGCCTCCTCGGGGCTCCAGGACACAGTCACGTCGCCGCCACGGGCCCCGCCACCGCCGGCCTGGCCCGGGGGCGCCGCCCCGGCCTCCTCCAGCCGGGATTGCTCACTTTGGCTCTTGAGCCCCAAACCTGCAAGCCGAGACGGGGCGGCCTCTTCAGTTCCACCGGGTTCTGGGACCAGAGCTGGGGCGAGGCAGAAACAGGACTCAGGATCAGAAAGCCCTGGACTGCAGACACCCGAACCTCAGTTTCCTCGTCCATAAAATAGGGGCCTGATAAAATGCCAGCAGAGAAACGCTTCAGAGGCAGAGGCAAGGAAGGAGTCCGGCTGGGCGGCACGCCTGCAGAGACGCTGACTGACCATACTCCTGACCTTTCCACGCCTGTGTCCACACTGGGGTCGGTGTCCCACAGTCTGAACCCTGGCTATGAAAACTCAGAACCGAATTGATTTAGGTAGTTTGTAAATGATCCAAGCTCTCAGTATTTCCTGCCGGAAACCGAGGAACCCCTGGGTTCGGCCTGTCGCTGCTCTCACCCCACAAGCTCTTATCACTTAACTCAGGAACAGAGTTCAATAGGGAATGATCCTCGCCTTCCCACGGGGTCATGTGGATTAAATGAGATGATCCCCCAACAGTGCTCGGACAGCCTCTAGCTTGGAGAGGGGACCCAGGAGGGTGGCCCCTGAAGGGCAGGGCCCAGGCCTTGGCACACGTCTATTTTCCCGGTCCGCACCTCTTCGCGGGGCAGGCTGCGGGGACCTCACAACTACTTCAGAGTCCCTTGACCTCTCTGAGTCTCAGATCCCTTGTGTTTGTGTGTGAACCGGGACAACACTGCTATGCACCAGGCTGTGAGAATCACACAAAAATGCCCGTATGAGAGCTCAGTACGGTGTGGGTACGTGGCAAGCACCCCTCACATGGTAACACACACTGACAGGCAAACAAAAATGAACATTAACACAAAAAAGAAATCACCCAGGGCTCTTGAAAAGACCCATGAAGAGCCCACTTTCGAGCCAGCTAAGGAGGGTGTGGGAAGACTGGGGGCCCCAGTGGGATATAAAGGGGCGTGTGGCCTGCTTGGGCCAACCCTCCAGCACAGGGACCCTCCCCTCCCCCAGGAAGGCTGCCGCCTCCAATTCAGAGGAGCCAAGGACCCCAGGGGTCCTGGCTGCACCTGCTGCTTACCCAGGGCAACATTCCGAGAATTCTCGCGCTTTATGTCCCAGAAGAGATCCCTCTGAGCAGGGTCCAAGGACCCCCATTCTTCCCGGGAGAAATAGAAGGGAATGTCTCCAAACGTCACAAGTCCCTGGAATGAGGTGAGAAGACCTGGCTCAGCACTGCTGCTCAGGACTCCCCAGGCGGCCACACGATGGGGGTTGGGATGGGGAACAGGACGGGTCCAGGCAGTACCAGAATGGATAGGAGAGGCCTTATGAGAAGACCAGGCTCACTGTAGGGGCTCGACAGCACCGAGGGCCTCAGAGGGGACACAGGGACTAGTAACTCACATGGCCATCAGAGGCGCAGCCGGTATCGGTTTTCTCTCTGCTACTCCCCTCTTTAAGAGCAGGAAGCTGGGCTGAAGGAGAAGAACGGAGCCTCAGAGAGGCCAGCCCAGGCCAGGAGCCGGATTGCACACATGTATACACACACACAAACACTTTCCTAGGCTCCTCAGAACAGAAATGACCTTCCTGCCACCCTCAGTACAACACACAGGGAGGTGCGGGCCCCTGCCCAGCCGCCTGTGGCCTGCAAGCTTACTCACCGCCACGACTGTGCTGCTCCCAGAGTGCAGGTGGCCAGCTTCGTGCCCCCACCTTCACGGGGAGCCCCTTGGCGGGGGGTCCCTGGACTGTGGCCTCGGCTCCCACCTCCTCTGAGGGCACGTCCTGTGCAGGAACCACAACATGCTCATCAGCACCGAGATCAGACGGGGGACACAGAGCTTAATCCCTGGGAAGGAGACACAGGACACGTCCCTCAAGATGAAGGGGTGCGGGGAAGGAGAGCAATACAGGGTTCCGGGAGAATCCAGAGGAGAATGTTCTGTGGCTCAAGGGCACTCCCTGATCAAGCATGAGGCAAGAACAGCCCCCAAAGGCCAAAATCACAAAGCCACTTAGGGGAGGTGGGGGCAGATCTCCATGCCAATGGCGGAGCCCCACACCCCAGCCACTCATTAGCACCTCCGCAAGTGTCAACATCGAACCAACCCCAGACAGCAGGGCTCACACGGACAGCTCCCTTCTCACAGCCACTCTGCTGCGGTCATGACACCCAACGCTGTACCCCCAGGGCCTGGCCGACAGCAGAGCCTGTGTGGAGCTGAAATCTGCCTTCCTGGAACATTCCCACTTTGGTCCTGCTGCTGCCCTCCAAAGCCACCAAAAATCAACGGCTCATGTGGACAGTGTCTTTCAGAAAGGCAACACCTGTTATGATGTGCTCCTGTAGGGTGCTCCCTTGGGCTCCGCATCCCCACCACCCCGGAGGACTTGTTTCTATGGAGATGGCCACCTCGCTTCATCCAGGTGCCAGCCAGGTGCCCCTGGGTGTGGGAGGGGCCCCTCACCTGCGGCCATGCTTTCACCGGCTGCTTCTGCAGGACCTCCACCAAGGCGACGGCCTCCTCACCGCTCCCTGGACGCCGCTCCCGCACCCGGGCCTGGACGCCTCCGGGCAGCACGCTCAGGAACTGCTCCAGCACCAGCAGCTCCAGGATCTGCTCCTTGGTGCGCAGCTCGGGCCGCAGCCAGCGGCAGCACAGCTCCCAGAGCTGGCTGAAGGCCTCATGGGGCCCGCCCACATCCCTGTAGCAAAAGTGCCGAAAGCGCTGGCGGCAGGCCTCGGAATCCCTGCTGTCTTCTTGCTGGGCAGAGTCCTGCTCCCACGAGGAATCTTCTACCTTCACGATCAGCAGCCCTTCTCCCTCCCCAGGGGCCTCATCCTGAGGCTCCCGGGGTGCTGCCATTCCCCTGGCCTAAGGACTGGGTGGCCTCAACCTAGGCCTGCGAGCCTGCACTTCAGTCTCCCAGAGGGATCCCCTGTGGCAGCCAGGTGGGCATCTGGATGCAGACTCCTGGGGAAAGAGCAAAAAGCGGGGGGGGGGGGGGGGGG